ATGCCTAAATACATGGAATAGCAACTTACTTCAACTTATTTCTAGTGAAAGAAACTTAAATGCAAGAAATAGCAAAGTACATTGCTATTTCTTACACTTGATCTTGAAAGCAGTTAAGTGACAGGTGACAGGTAAGAACACTTACAGAACTTGCAAAGATGTGAATACATGTACAGACATTTACTAAAAGAAAGAATCAACCTACACCAAGTAGTGAATTGAAAAGTGACACAAATTTGACATTTCTCTCTTTTAAAATAAGGCGAAATTACAAGGAAAAATCAAGCTTTATACTAACATGTTATGTTTTCTTGAAACTACAAGGAAAAATCAAGAACGTGATTTGACCCATCAATGCACTTTCTACATCATGGAAATAACCCTTCAAACAAGAAACAAAAGGAATAATATCTTTATGATTCACAAGTCTCAAGTTGTCTTTAACTTTCTACAATGCAAGAACAAAAGGGTAATAATGATGAAAAACCTAACAACAAACATCTTTTAATCACTAGGAGGGAGATTACCTCGTTATAAATTTGAGCAATTTTTTTACCAACTCTTGGATATCCAAAGTTATACATAGCTACATAAACAGCCCCTCGCCTAGTCAATCAAAAGAGACAAAAATGTGACACGGAGGAATAAAAGTTTATGATGAATTGATGATTCACCAAATTGTAATAACTAACTTTGCTAATTGACTGGAGGATAGTTCGAGAGCAAGCAAGGTTGCTAATGCACCACCTAAATTGTGACATACATTTTTATTTGATGAAATAGCCAACTAAAAATTTGATGTGGCATACTTTTTGTTTTTTAATATGACCCTAAACATAAACACATATAAATCTACTTTACCCTATTCAGTAATTTAAAGAGAGCCAAGTGCAATATTATGTATCTTCCTTACCTTTAAATTGACAATATTTAAAACATATTATTCACAGGGAATTTAAAGCAAAAAATATATGACAAAATGCTTACAAACCTTCTCCATCTCCTGAAATGAATATGTCCTTCTAGGCAACAACCCTTTAGTTTCCTCCCCTGCCACAACCCACATGTACATACTAATGGCTTCCATGTTATGCGTCAGTTGTATTGAGATCACATACAACTCTTTTAGCATCAAGATTCCATAATAAGGCATAACTCAATTTTGCAGTTTCATATCCCTATACCCGTTGAATAGACCATTAGCTGTATAATTTTATTATCAATGAAACAAAATTGTAATATTAACAGATTATCAGTTGAATAGAACAAACTATGTTGACAGACCAATGGACAACAAGCTATGATAAGATGTAAGTGCACCCCATAAGTTATAATAAGATGACAGATTATCAGTTGAATAGAACAAGCTATGTAACAAGCAATGACAGGGAAGGGTGAGATGAATTTGTGAAACCACTCATGATGGCTGCACCATTTATGATTTATTTTCTAAAATTAAAAAAATACTTGTGAATTCTAACTGAAAACATCAAATCAATTTGTTGTATCTTCTCAGAAATCAAAGGAAAGATCATCATGAACATTTGTGATTCAATTAGCTTCAATACAACTCTATTCAATTACCATATTACAAAGAAACCTATTTTCCATTTGGATAGTGAATCAAACCTGAATGAAATTGAAGTTGTAGAAATGGGAGAGACAGAAAATAGTAAAATCGCTACATCTCCAAGCTCTGATAATTGGTTATTCTATATACATTGTATAACATGATTATACAAACAACTCCCACTGGTAGTTTCATATTGAATCTTCAACGTGCCCAAGTCCCTGCATATATTGAAAATTTGAATAATTCGAAATTTAGAATCCATTTAGCAATGTCAACAAAGATTTTTGGATTTCCTCAGCCGTCTGATTATGAAAATTTATTGAGAATCATGTACAACCTCTCCTTCATCCGATCAACTGGTGAGTTTTTGCCAATCAACAAGCACAAAAGGCTGAAAACCCTAATCGGGGAAAATTAAAATATTAAACATTTAGAATTGTTGATTGGAAATCAAAGAGATTTAATTACCTGGTTGAAACTTGGGATAATTATATCGGAGTTTCCTTCTGGTTTGGAGCGCAGAACTTGTAGAGACATCAATGGATTTGGATTTGACGTATAAACATTCTCAGAATATTAGAACGGTGGATAGAGAGGGAAGCGATGGACTGACATTTGTCAAACAATAATCCAAAAGGAAGTATGGATCACTTTAATGTAGGAATGTTATTCGAGTCGGAACCGGACCGAACCGACATGAACCCGAATAACCCGAAAACCGAATAAGGGTAATTACATGAACCGAAAACCAAACCGATTAACCAATATGGGTTCGAATCGATTCATTTCGGTTATTACCTGAATAACATGTATAAGATGATTATGGACCTAATATAAACCGTATTAGGATTTTATAACTCGAATAACCCGAATAATAGAATAACAATGTACTTTTGTACATCAACATAAAACATTCAAAGACTAACATAACACATTAACACATTGTAAAAATAGCATTTACATATTAGATTAACATAATGAGAATTACTTTCTTAATTGAGTTTTTTTTTTTTTGAGTTGGAGCCCAATTTTTCATGACTACACAAAGTAGGAATTCATGAATCCTTAGAGACAATAGGAATGATCGATTTTTGAAAGTCTGAAACAAGAGGAAGGATCGACAGAATTGATTTCGAATTTGGAAATAGTTGAGAAGATTGGTCAATTTTGAAACGACGAGAACGAGCGTAGGGTTTCTTTCTGTTATGAATGACAAGGACAGAAGTGTGAATCGTGATCTTGATTTATGTCGATCAGAGAAAGGGACGAGGAATGCTTATTCGGGTCGGGTATTTAGAACCGAATAAACTCTTATTTGGGTAACCCGAACCGAATAATCATAATATGGATACCCGAAACCCAAATCGAATTGCTTATTCGGGCCTAATTCGGTTCGGTTCGGGTTTCCGGGCCAAATTCTCATCCCTAATTTGATGAACATGGCATCATTCTGGGATATATTGATGGGTGAAGGGGATACGAGAGAGGTGAGTGGATTTGGGTGAGGCGTGGACACGAAGGGATAGATGTAAGGGAGATATGTAAGAGAAAAATAGAGAGACAAAAGGGGAGAGAAGAGACTCGATTTTTGTGAAGACTAAAATGAAAAGAAACGAAGGTTGGGCAGAAACAAACGAGTCGGCGAGGAGAAGTGAGCATGAGGTCGCCGAAGGGAATTGAGGTAGCCGACAAGGCGAGGCGAAGCGAGGTGAGATCGTCGATTTTTGCAGAGGCCGGAGAGCACCGAGAGCGTTCATTCTTGAAAAAAATCCCTAGCTAGAATGGTCCTACGATTTTGTGGAATGCACCTTTGAAAAAAATTATAAAGCGACATCTAGCTCTACACGACACCCGTTTAAGATAGGTGCCCTCCATGTTTGTAAAAAAAATTGTTGGACACCAAAATTTAGGGCGCACATAAATATGTGTCCTCTATCCTTCAAATTTTGGATGAATGACATTATTTTTAGGACATGCAAAAAATGCGTATCGTAAATCAGTGTGTGTATTTTTTGCGTGTCATTAAAAGGATGTTTTCTAGTAGTGAATGTTCATTCGGGTAACAATGACAACAAGAATAAAGCCAAGGCATCATCTTCATACTAGATTTCTAAGTTATTGACCAACTCTTTAAATGTAGAAATATGTTCAACTAAAGAACCTCTTTCAATCATTTTGATATTGAACAACGATTGCTTTAAGTGCAACTTGTTTGGTAGGCTCTTAATCATCAATAATTGCTTCAACTATAACCATAAAGAATCTGTTGAAGTTTCTTTCAAAATATCTTGCAAAACATCATTTAACATATGCAAACGAATTTAGGATTGAGATTTTAAATCATTCGTCTCTTTATCTTCTTTCGTCCATGAAGCAAGCCTCTTATCCAAACCCCAAAATGTTTTTTGTAAATCCATATGCATAAGACACATCTTCCATCTTTACTTGTCATAGTGGAAACCTAGTGCTCCGATCCAACAATGAAATATCATATTACATCGAAGACGTGATCAATTAGTTGATAAAATAATCCCAACAAACTAATATTAAACCTAGAAGCTCTGATACCAATTGTTGTAAACAAGTGGGTAAAGATGTATTGAAACGAAACTGTCCTAATGCATCATACAACCCAAACATCTAAATCACAAGAAGAATATTAGTTCAAGCCGAATATGACTAATATATCAAACGACAATCAACCACATGCAATGAAAATACCAAGCAAATCAGTAAATCAGAGAGATAAATATATTTACGTGGAAAACCCAAATGAGGAAAAAACCATGAGCGGATGAAGCCAATAACCAATCCACTAAAATATGGCAGTGTTTGCAGAGCTTGATCAAAGAAATTAGAAGGAGCTATAATGGTGATTTGGCGATTAAGGGATAAAACCCTAGAAACATAGCTCTAAAAGGAGAAGAAAAGTAGATGGCTTATGCAATTGTTTTCAAAACCTCTCTATATAAAATATTCATGTTTTGAAAACCAGACCGAACCCGCCTGTTCGACCGGGAACCGATCCCGGAACTAGTTCTTATAGACCAAAAAACCGCTCGTTATGTGAACCGGTGAAAACCGGTCCGGTTGAACCCGAAAAACCGGTAAAAACCGAGAATTTTAATATATATATATATATATATATATATATATATATTATATATATATATCATTTTTGTAATTTTTTATATAACTAAAATTAATAATAATGTAATTATTGCATCATTAGGTTTTTCCGGTTTTTGAGACCGGTCCAATCGGTTGGACCAATTGAATCATCGAACCAGTAAGACGGTCAGTCCGATCTACGGAATATCGTGATGCTTGCCTTCTTCATTACTAATCACACAATTTATACATGATGTTGAACCTATCTAAGGAAAGTATAGATAAGTACACATACATTTAAATAAAAGATGATAATGACACAATGACCAAAAGATTTTATGAATGAATACATCTATACAAAAAAAATCCCATTAAAATCTAATAAGAAGATATATGAATATAACAATACAAAAAAATTTATTTTCGCATTAGAATCTATTAACAAGATAAACGAATACCAACGATAATGGATAGAGCAGGTATGCTATGAAAGATGTCCAAATGGGGAACTTCGATCTAAAGCTAGTTGCCGTACCCATAATGATACAAACTATCAAAACAATCAACACTTCCGCAGAGAAGTCCCATGTCAAGCCTCGAAAATATATGACCGCCAAAAGCACGGAAAATCCAAGAACATTGTTCATGAACACTCCATCGTATAACTGCATGTGATAGAGAGTAACAAAACATGTTCATTTAAATTGATTATTGAAAAAAAAAAATCGAATTATAAATTTAAACCGTCATCGATTGTTAATGGCGAGAATTCTCGTAGTGTGCATCACCTTCATCTAGTAGAATCGATAAAAGTGAACAGGAAAAGAACAAACCTCGGAGAATGTCAAGGAAGTAGTTCGTTCGTTTCTTTGGCTTGCAGTTTGGATGGCTGAGATTGCTGCACGTGCATTTGTGGCTAAGGGGACGAGGATAAAAGATATGAAAAATGATGGTATGTTTGCAGCAGTAGAAACATCGTGCACACTGTGTATCAGAGGTTCAGCCAGAAGTGCTAACATGGTTATCCCAAGCACCAAGGATGTTATAGCCTTTGTCCATGCCCAGCTCGATCTATCAACACCATCATCATCAACCCATCTTTCCCATGGTTTCTGTGTGCATGCATTTTGACGTTTTAGATCATATCTATAACTTCATAAAACTTATGACGACGAAAAGAATTTGGTGTGACTTGACTTACTTCGGATGCATCCGTTTTAGACCCAGGCGACATGGGGATGATTTCATCATTGGATGAGTTGAGCCAATTTCTAAATCCATTTATGAATTCATCTAAATCAATCTGCTGATCCCCACTTTCATCGAGATCTTGCATTATTTTAGCTGTTGCTTCATCTACATTCTCTGGTACTTTCTGAAAATCGACTTCCATGATCAATCTCTTCAATTCAGATTGTGATATAAAATTATCTTTATCAAGATCAATTCTTTCAAACAACCTAGAATTGCCAACAAAATGTGTTAGTTACCCTACTTAGCTACTTGTTCATCGGTGTAATACCAAAAGTCAAATTTCGTTTCTCACCCTTTTATTGCGGATATATTTGGCGTCCCATCTTCGTTGTAGAAGTTACCTAATGGTAACCTTTGGACATGTCTGATAATTTCAGATACCAGGATCTTCATCATCTCTTCTTCTTTCTTTTTACTCTGAACCCATGGTTGGATAATCTGAAAACAGATTGATCAGAATTTATTGAAAAGACATGTGATGAAATGCCAGATTTCTAGTTTGAATTTTGAATACCTGATACAAGTCCTTCCACGAGTTAATTGAGCGGAATGAGCGTTTATTCACTGCATTCTTTGTCTCATCAAGCCAATTTATGAATCCATGGACGAATTCGTCCATAGTTACTTTACTATCACCATCTGTATCGAATTCTTTCATTATTTCTTCCAATGTTCTATCCTTGCTCCAAGTTAATTTCCTGAACTTAATATCTTGTAGAATTGCTTTTAGTTCAGGAAAAGATATGTAGCTGTCACCATCTTGATCGATCTTTGAAAATAGACTGCACAGATAATGCAATGCTCCTTCTTAGTTTAATTTTTATCCAACAGGAAGCATAAATACAAATAAAGCATATATAGATAATATGAAAAGGAACAAGAAACAAGAAACCAACCCTTTTATAGTTGCTAGATTTGCTGAACCATCTTCATTGAGTATCTTATCCGCAGTGTGCTCCTGTAGATGTTTTAGTATGTCTACAACTAAATGCTCGTGTTTCACGTATGATAATCTTCTTTTTTGTATTGAAGGCTCAAACACCTACATAAGAGAATCTTTAGCTAATTCTATCTTATTAATATAATCTAATAATGTTCACAAAGATAGATGTAGAGGATACCTGGTAAATGAAGTATACAATCAAGAACAAAACCGATCCAGGAAGAGCAATCGTGAAGATATATCCCCGAGACAAATTTGCACCAAATAATCCTGGGATTAGGATGAATGTGAATGGTATAACAGAAAGAAGCATAATTTTGGCTGCTTGACTCGTCTCTTCATCTGTAGTTACACCAGAACCTACAAACAAGGAAACAAATTAACTCCATTTATGAGCAATCTTGGAAACATATACAAGTAACCGGATTGAATTAGGAAGTGAACTGAAGAAGATCAGAGCTCACCAGTGCATAATGAAATCAGTTTTCGGAATTGATTTTGCGTAGGATCATTAATCATCGAAGTGGTTGAACCAGATTCTGAAGAAAATTTTCGACTACCAATCATGACACAAGTTCCCCACAGTAAAGTGAGAAGGAATATAGCTGATCCAGCTAGTAAGCCAACTCCAGTTAAGACATACTCTTCAGCTCCATCTTTTGTGTCTGATAGTCCAGATACTGCACATCGATGAACAAATTTCCAATGAGGAGTCTTTAGGTATTTAACATTTTCAGTTTGTGGGTCCGGATCGATTGAGGGTATCAAGAGAAATTAAGATAATGAAGGAACATACCGAGAAGTATCAATGACTCAGGAAGGAAACCAAGAACTTGGAAAGCACTTGCACCGAAGATGCCAGGACCCAGAATCTGAAAAATCCGTTTTCCTCCAGAAGAAACATACGATTCTCCGTGAAATAGCAAGTATTCATAAACCAAAATGAGGAAGAGGTGACCTAGGAGATTTTCCGAACATGGCAAGAACCCGTACATTTGCTCACAGTGTTCTTCAGGAAAATCATCGATTCCTTTGAGATGCAAGAAAGATGATCCTTTCTCTCCGGTTTGATCATGATCAGTGCCATCTGAAATCAACTCTGAGGTAGTGTAATGTAAAACCCGACCTGTAACGTTCACTGCTAACAGGATAAGAATCAATGAAGCGTAGGATGCAGTTGAAAATTTTATCATCTTTAATGATTGTTGCTAAAGTTTACTTTTGTGTTGTTTAATTCTCAAGTACTAGGTTATATAGAAAAGTGGATAAATGGAGGAAAGATCCAAGAAAGTCTTTAAAAACCAAGACTTATTCAGGGTCAACGAGATCTCTTTTACCGTTTCCGTATTGAACAAGGAGATTAAAGCCATGAAAATTATATTTTGGTGCATATATACATGCATTTGAATTTTCTTGCATAATAGCTGTTGAACTTTCTTGAAACCCCACCTGCTCTTACGTGACAAGATTGATCTGTTAATTTATTTCCGCTTGTCCGATACTATATTATAAACCATAATTCTTTGAATTTTTCAAAACAAGTTCCTAATTATGACCAATTTTCCTTCACATGAAAAGTTGATGGAGAGACATCGCCATCCTTAATTCCTTTGTTTCCCTCGCGCAAGCAACCTCTATAGTTAAACCTATAGTTGGAAATAATGTGTGTTTCTTTTCAAATTTCAAAGATAAAATAAAAAAGAAATAAAATATCCTCCTATTTTTCTTCTTAATTATCTACATACTCATTTAAAATGATGACAAGTGTCCTAAAATATGATTAGTTCTATCCAAACATGACACTTGTCATAATTTCATGTGGGTAGGAAGATAAATAGGAAGAAAATATAGGAGAATATTTAATTTCGACAGATGTTCAAGAGGTAAGTGGTACCTCAACCATGGTGGAAAAATATTCCTTTCGAACCTGTACAAGATCAAAGACGAGAATAAAAATAATGATAGGCAGATCAAATGTCAGATTTTTCTTTCTATCATTTAATTATAAAAAAGTCTAGTGGTGTAGTTGTCCTAAGGCGATAAAGACGGATTCTTTTACCATGTTTCTTGTAAGCAACATATATAATGCATCCCTATTGTCATCGCCTCATAAGCTACTTTTATAATTTAGTATAACTATGAACAATCAATTAGACTAGCATATTTGTATCAATAGTTATAAACACGTTAATTTTTCATCAATCATAACATCAAAATGGGCATCCTTTATCATCTACAACAACCATATTAATTTTATCTATAAAATACTTAGAGCATCACTTTCAATTACACTTGCAAATGTGGTAGACAAAACACCTCATCTCATCTCTTGCAGATATTGAAAGATCAAACTGCAATCACAAATTAGCATAATGGGTCCCAATTGCAATGACAACACCATTTTATTTCATTTAAAGATAAAAAAAACTGTACAATTAATATACTACTTAACATAATATATGATATAAATTAAGGTTACTTAACTATATACTATATATAATATATATCTATATATCTATATATATCTATATATCTATATTATATATCTATATATATATATATATATAATATATATAGAGGTTCAAGTATTCTAACTAATTATTGTGTGGAATGTGGGATAATGTTATTCGTGAGAATTACTAAGAGAATAGTTGTTTAGCAATGCGAATACGTTCAACCTTACAAAAATATCGTCTTTTCATCATTCTCGCTAATTATTATTTATTTTTGTTCTCACACATCGTTTTTCACTCATTTTCATTCTGACAGAATACGACTTAATAAACATTCTAACATAAATTAGAATAATAATAATAAGTGTATAATAAACTTATAGACGATTTAATTAGTGAGAATATGTGTTAATGACAATAGTTATGTAAGATTGAACGTATTTATATTATCAAACAACATATTTTCTTTATCATTCTCGAAGAATAGCATTGTCTATACGTCCGCACAATAATTAGTTAGAATAGAATAACCTTATATATATATATATATATATATATATATATATATTATATATATATACACACACACACACACGAGGGTTCAATTAAAAAAAAGTTAGAGAATGAAAGAATCAATCACTCACTCATTTTATTAACATCTTACACTCTATTTATAAAAAAACTCATGGTGGCAAATCTATAAATATCTAATACAATTAAATTGTCAATGGCAATTGAGTAATTTTCTACTGAGATCAAATCATGTCAGTATATAATCATTTCCTTTTATTCCAGACGATTCTTTCACCATAACCGCTACTTTACTCTCTCGAACACGAATCATATCATCATTTTAAACATCAGAAACAACAAAAAACCGTAGAGATCATGCAAGTTGAAATGGTAATAAAAAAATGTATTCAGACGAAAATATAAATGAAACCGCTACATCGTTGCTAATGTTGTATGGAGTCAATCCATACACAACGGCAGTCCATCACAAGACAGTTAGTTGCTTACCTGGCCTGCCAAATGGAAGGATAGAATGAAAAGGAATGATAGACATGGAAAGACAGAAAGACGACTGAATAGAAAAATAACAATTCTTTATATTCCTGCATAGTAAAAAGTGATCTAGCTTCTACACAAGATCTAATATTATATTGAGTTGGCTAGTACACTAGTTAAATATAAACTCAATATAATGTCAAGGCCTTCCCTTCCATTCCTATAAATAGAAGCTTTGCTCAACATTGCATGTAAGTGTTCCTTACTCACTTCAACCTCACACTCTCTCATGGAGTGATCTCTGTCTCCATCCATTCGGCTCTTTCCCCGTTAGGAGGATTTGGCTCTCTTTTTTACACAAAAATTTAACTTGATCGTCGAAACTTGCTCCCTGGGCATAATCCCTAGGGAAAGTTTAACGGTCTCTTTCTTGATAGTAAACAGGTTTTGTAGACGCAACACCTTGATAATTTATTACAAAATCTAACGTAGTGTCATTTGGTGTGAGCCCATACACAATGTCAGTCCATCACAAGACAATTCCCTACCCGACGTATCAAATCATTGCCAAAAGGAATGATATAATGGAAATGAAGGATAGACATGGAATGACAGAAAGATGACCGAATAGAAAAGTAACAAATTTTATATTCATGCACAGTAAAAGGAGATCCACAAACTAGAGCAATCTCTAGCGCAAGTTTAACAGTCTCTTTCTTGATACAACACAGCCTTTATAGTCGGAATCTAACTGGGACACACCCATCTGAAATATGAACTAGACGCAACACCTGGATAAGTGATTACAGAACCCGATATAGCATCATTTGGTGTGGGCTTGCCATACCCCCAGCCGCCGGAGGAAACACCGAGGTGTGCGACGTAAATCAGTGATCATAGTTACTGAACATACATTAAACAACACAAATATAATATTCTATTATAACTGAAATAGAAATTACATTGACGATTGTTATTGCTAAATCACGACACACGCCAAACAGTTCAACGTTTACAAAGGTATAATACAATAACAGAGAATCTTCTATGAAAACTCTTCCAATCTGCTAAATAACCTGAGAATACATGAATTTATATATGTCAACAAAAATTGTTGGTGAGTTCTACAGGTTTTGACACAAAGTACTTTTATAACCAAAATTGTTTAATTTTACAAAAATCCATACTTTTGTGTCAAAATATAAAAATAAATGAGTTATAAAGGTGTGTGGGCTCGTTTAGAAACATTTTTTGTTCAAATCTCAAAAGTACAAAATCTGATAAATACATATAATTAAGTCAGACTTATATCAAATTTTATGGTTTCGTGACCAAAATGCATTTTATATAAGGATTTTGAATACCAAAATATATAAAATAAAGACATGTCACACTTTGTGAAAACACAAAATAGTCAACTTTAATCTTGAAATCTCGTACAAGCAATTGTATAGTTTATATGTAAAACCCATAAGTTTCGAGTTTATAAACATTGTATGATCGTGTCGTAGTATTAATTAAGTGTTATCTTACTTAATTTGGGAACCGACACTTAACCAGTAGGGCAAACTCCTCCCATATAAACGTAGTATTTTCATACCAAAACACAGGGGTTTATATAAATAACTTATTAAATGTAAGTTAATAAACCTTGTCTAATCGTATCATGATATTAATTAAGTGTTATATGACTTAAATTCTGGTATTGATACTTATCGTTTTGAGTCACAAACTATCCCACTACATACAGTCTCTTTCAACTAGTATAAGGGGTTGTTTGTTTTTTTTTAAACCTCTTCAGACCACTTTTAGCTATGTTGTGCAGCACAAGCACAACGTTTTCCATCTAGCAGTTGTTTGTTTTTTAAAAGCCTTCTGAACAGAAAAGCTCTATGCATCTTCAGCGCCATACAACGTTGGTCTTACCTCTTCCAAACACTTGTAAACCTAAAACCTATAAAAAAAGGTATTACTCGAAAAGAATGTCACTCCATCCTTCTTCCTCCCCCCCCCCCCCCCCCCCATCGTGTCGTTCTTCTCCTGATTGATGCAGCCAACAACGACGTCATCATCGCTGCCTCAGCAATCCTTCGTATTCCTCGTGAATCACTACCATCAACGGACAAGTTTTTTTTCTAATTTATGATTCAAATGTTGTAGAAATTGATTTTATTTTGCTGAAATTGATTTAATTTTGTTGAAATTGATTTTATTTTGCTGAAATCGATTTTACAGCCCTCGTAAATCATCGGTTTTACATATCTGGAAATCGATTTTAGTTATATTGATTTTTGAAATCATTTTTTCTTTTCTGATTTGCACTTGTTGAATTAGATTTTTGATTTGATGAATGTCAAGGAAAAGTATGTTGATTTCTAAAATCAATTTTTCTTTTCTGATTTACTGAAATATAGATTTGCTGAATTCGATTTCTGATTTGATAAATGTCAAGGAAAAGTCTGATTTTTGTTATGCTGATTTGCTTGCAATTGTTGCTGTTGTTATGCTGATTTTTGAAACGGTTGATGAAATGCTCATATTTTTGTGCTAAAATTGTATTATTGTTTAATATTTTGTGCTAAAATGGTATTATTGTTTAATCTTTGCTGAAATGAATTATTTTTTCTAATTCTCGTGTTTTGAAATGGTGTCCAAATTTTCTTATATTTGTGTTGATTGTTGGTCAAATCTTATAAGTGTATGTTTTTCTTTGTTGGGGATTTTGTTAAAGCTTTCAAGAGTGATCTTTAGTTGTTTACAACGCGGACCTTTCAGATCACTCCGAGTTTGATGATGATGATTCTGTTAAGTTCCAAAGAATAGTTATAGCTCAAGATATTGCTTAAGAGTCTTGTTCTCAAATTGTTGGGCATACTTGGATTTTGGAATCAATTGTTGGATCTTGTTTACTGCCTTTTACAAAGGCCTAATTTAGTTTTTTTAGGTGCTTAAAAGTCA